TTTTAAAAATAATCCAAAATTTGTATTTTTGATTCAAGAGAAATAGTTTCTTATAGGCAGTATATATTTTTTAAAATTTCAGTGGATATAATTCAGGAATATAATTCATAAAAAAATTATTTCAATTTTTTGGATGCTAACACTTCTCCCATCATTTTTTGCAATAATACTGTCTCAAAAATACTGTGTGATAAATGATTTTCCTCTAGTGTCACAATTCTTAAGAATAAAAAAGTTGTAATATATTCCTAGAAAAATTAATAATTGATTAAATAAAAACCAAACTCACTAATAAAAACTTAGAAGACACAAACTGTATGTTTTGAAGTCACAATTTTTAATGGTCTCAAACAAGCAGAAGTTCAGCAGCACAGAATCCAATATAAAGATCTTCCAAAAATATAAAATATGAAAATTTTCCAAATTTTTCTTTTCTTTTAATAGCCAGCAAATCAACAGATATAGAATAGATGATATATGAACAGATAGATGAAGAGATATATATATGTTAGGCTCAAAAACTGAAATCACTCATTGAGAGAAAAAAACGGCCACAAAACGAAATTCATGTTGTGGCTTTCATCATATTTGATCACTGCGCATTGTGGTGATTAAAAAAAGCCATAATGCATTCTGAATGTTAGCTGATGCAACCATGATACGTAGGATAGGTTGTAACTTGTCAACGGGTGTATTGCAAACACTTGCAAAGTTTGTATTGTGTTCATTCTTGACCAGTGCTGCCATTTCTAGGATAATTACCCTTTTCTAGAGTAATTTCAACCTTTCAGAGTAAACCTTTCTAAATATAAGATTACCCGAAGGGTAATCTTATATTTAGAGTAATCTAGGGTAAAACTACCATGTGTTCTGATGCTTTTACTTATCACTCCACAAGTTTCGCTGGAAAAAGTTTTAGCCTAAAATCATTCTTTTTCCCTATAACTGGAGGGTTTTAGGATAGGGCAACAGAAGCTAAAAAAATAATGCAGATTGATGCTAGGTACATGGGTGTACACTGTACAGTAATACTTCGGTTTTTGCCGATAATCTGTCTGTAAACAATGGACGAAATCTGAAACCGATGATAACCAAAGTCAATGAAAACTGAGGTATTACTGTATATTACATCCAAGTAGGATTTCACTTTTCTCAACCTTCATGCCATTGAGGCATTGGCACTCTCCGTATCAGATGTAAATTAATACCTCTGATAAAGCCTAAAAATCCTAAGACATTTTAGCTCGAGCTCAAAGAGTTTTCTCAATTTAAGGTAATTTTCTGCAGTTGAAATTAATTTGTTTGTTTTAGTTAGGGCGCCTAATGTTGATAGGGGACTGCAGCTCCCAGAAATGTTTTAGCTGTTGTTATGAGCATTAATCCATCAGGTCTCTATCAGTTAGGAAACAAGGAAAGTCTTCTTGATCGACTTTATGCTCGTAATGAATTTACAATTTCTACAGTAACTTTATTAACATTTAGAACGCACCCTCAACTTTATTAACATTTCGCTCAGCATCTATGTTAATATCTGGAAGTAAACAAGGGTTTATAATGTGTCACTGTAAAAGATACTGTATTGATAAAAATGCAAATGTCACTCAAAGAACATAAAAATGCATGAATAATTAAATGTTGTTGTAAAGTAACCAAGTTAAATTTCTGCTGTATATGATGAATAATTTTGTTACCTGTGTATATAAGATGACTGAAGATAAATAAATCATAATGAAAAAGAAAGTTTTATTTTCTTATCATCGCTCGTTATTAGTTAACATCCAGAATGTGTGATGGCTTTTAATGATAATAAATCTATCGCACAGTGGTTTTTAACTTTAGCAGCTAATTTTTATTTTATCGTATATAGGTATATCAAGCACCTACAAGTACAGTAGAACCTCTATTATCCGGATTGTTCAAAATAAACAAAAATTTTACGAATTTGCTGATTTGCACCTGGCGAATTACAACACTGTTTATGTATGTGATGGAATGCATAACTTTTTTTGTTTCAACAATGTCTCACCCAGCACAGTGGTTGTAAACTCTTAAATATATTTTATGTCGTAATAAAAATAACTTGACTTATGTATTTATAAATAATTTATATTCAAATTACATCATTTCTATGACCAAGGACGGCGTAAGGCATGGACAACGTGGGTCACTGGCTATGCCTTGCGGTCTGAAGGGCCTCGCTCCTTGAAGGTTTATGCATTACTTAAAAGCCGCGAACGTGACGAAAAAATTTTACTCGTCATAAAACGATAAATAGTTTGTCAAATTTTTATTCATAAAAATTCAACAGTTTCAACTGCTTTTTATTTTATAAAATCCGTTTTCTTGCGCCACGAGAGGGCCTTTTAAACAATAGGTAGTCTGTTAGCACTGGTCAGTAGTAGTCCAAATTCAATACAAACATTTGTTTCTTGAAAATTTGATCACAATTTAAATACAGTATTTATTTTTAATATTACTGATATGTCATCGAAAAGAAAATGTGTTGTATTATCATTAAAAGAAAAATTAAAGTATTTGTTTCGATTGTCCGAATTTTTCCTTATCTGGACCACCTTCATCTCCAATAAGTCCGGATAGTCGAGGTTCTACTGTATATGTAATTAGACCTTTAGCACTTTTCAGCCAAACATAAGAAACAAATGTGTATTTTTCTCCATATATTTTATTTCTTTGAAATTTTTTAAGTATGAAAATTAAATTTCTAGGAAAACTTGTAGAACTAATGTTGATCAGCATTAAAAATTGTAAATAAAAATGTTTCGAGCCTAGAATCCATATTTTAAAGTTACAAACCACTGTGTGTCATATGATCCTGTACGTGGTTGCATCAGCTAACATTCAGAATGCATTATGGCTTTTCTTAATCACCACAACGCATAATGGTCAAATATCATAAAAGCATGACGCAAATTTTGTTTTGTGGTTGTTTTGAGTTAGCCGCAATGCGTTGTGGCCGTTTTTACAAATGCCACAACATGAATTTCACTTTATGGTCATTTTTTCACTCAATGAGTGATTTCAGTCTTTGAGCCTAACATATACACATAATATATATACAAGGGCAATTCAAATCCTTCCCCTCCATCACCATTAATGAAATTCTAGAACTGTATGTGTTGCATAGTCCCAATTTATCTTTTTTTTCCTAGGAATTCTCCCTCCACTCGCTGACACTTCTCCCATCATTTTTTGCAATGATGCTGTCTCAAAAATACTGTGTTATAAATGATTTTCCACAATTCTTTGACTGTGTTATTGATAGAACAAAACAACGTTGTAGAAATTCCACGTTATACAAGGGTTATCTGCATATGTTAAGTTTTGAATTTGGAATATAATATTCAAATTATTATTTAAAAGTCTATGTTAAAATGCTTTGTAATCAAAAATAATAATGTATACATGTATTTACATTTTTCTGAACTTTTAGCAATACATGATCAGTACATTTGTAATCTTTTACAATTGAAGAGTGGGCATGCCTACAGGCCTAAGTCAAATTATGATTTTGAGGAAAACTGATTTTATTGTTTCTTGAAGCATGAGCAAGTTAGACAGATGATAATATTGTCAGTAATGAGGAACTTCCTAATTTTTCCAGCATATGGACTCTATACCATTCCATTGGTGAAAAGCACATAGTACACTTTGGTGTCAATAGAGAGGTTGCAGCTGAAGTTTTCAGCCCAAAACGTGAATGTCGGACATTGAGCGCCGCCATCTGGCAATTCTAGAAGGTTGATAATGACATTCGCTACATCTAACATGGCGAGTAGAAGTTTGGCTTAAACTCTTCATTTTTTTGTTTTTGGGGTTAAAATTATGATATATTTTATTAAAATAATTATTTAAGCATTTATGAATAATATTGTAAAGAAAGACAATTTTAATCCAGAAATTATTTAATAATTCAATTTTTTTGCAAGTGATGTGAAGTGCCTATAGAATTTAAATATATTTCTGTTCAAAATAGCTTATCATAATTCTGTAGGAGTAGGTTTGTTCTTTCACAGCATCTTTTGCTATCAACAGTGTAATACATTTGTAAATTTTCTAAAAATAATTTCCCAAGCTGCTTTCGGATTTACATAACCACTACTTCCCTCAACAAAAGTATGAGGTAGTCCTATCGTATGGTAGGAGACACGACGCTAATTAAAACCAATTATTTAGTGTTATTAAACATCCTATAAATACTTTAAAATAGTTTAATTTGTTTATTTATCTTCACTGGTAACATTCGTCATTGTTAAACGTTTCCGCCATTTTTCAATAATATCTCATGAGTCAGTGCATGATGTGAATGCATGGCACAATGTGTTTTACTTTAAGTTCAAACGTCAAACATGTACTTCTGCTTGCCGTAAAAGTTTAACATTTGAACTTTGGCCGCAACCTCTCCATTATCTCACTTCATTTTTATGGAACTTAGGCCCTTAGGAATGTCCATGCTTCAATTATTGTTGTTAAATTTTTGTTATAAACAGTAAAAGTGATCCTATGAAGTGGAAAATCAATCCAACAAGAATAACCTTAAGCTAATTCTTTTCTTGAAATCTGATTAATATGGCAAATCTGCATTCATTATACTTCATCAACATGACATTACCAACATCAAAGTAATGCATATATCCATGAATCTATAACTTTAAAATAATGTGAACTTACATCTACATTAACAATATGTAAGATATTAGCTAATGACAATATAAACAAATTCTCCCTGTTTGCATCTGCCATTTTAAATTTGTACAGTGCTCTCTCTAGTTCATTAAAATCAATTATTATTCAAACAACTTTACAGAATAATCATTCTTAATTTAGTTAATAATGAAACTGAAAAGATTTATGCTGTAAAATCAAAAATAACATTTGTTTACACAATTATCACTACATAATAGGAATAATTTTTCTATTCATACATATTCAGTAACATCATTCAAAATAATAATTTTAAAATCTAGATAACTATATCTTACCTAAGATTCATTTTATGAGTTATAAAACCAAGATGAGCATCAAGAACCAGACTTGTGACCAAATCATCATTTTCACAGAGTTCTTTAGCAGTCATTCCAGTAGAAGGTGGATATCTAGTACTAGATTTTGTACAGCTTTCTACAACCATTTTTATTATCTGAAATATTACAATTTAAAAATTTTAAATATTTTTTATAACAATTTCAAAATATAATATTACAGATATTAATAATTTAATTACTAAAATTTTTTAAATAATAAAAAATACTTTTTTAAAGTAATAATGTTTTACAGTATAATTGGCAGAAGGCAATCATATATAATAATAAATTAATGTATAAATTTTGCATTTTAAATCAAATGATTAATTGTTATTACAGTAACATTATTGAGTTATCATCAAATAAAAATAAAAAATTACATGTAAAAATATGGTATTCTTATATTTCACAACACTAGTTGTAATTTACATTAAATAAGTAATTATTTATATATTATTAATATATCAGAAAATGACCAAGGGAAAAAAGATTTTCTCTTCTCCTAAGCAACAAAAACCTATTGTTGTAAACCAGAGCTACAGAGTTGGTAAAAAAACACTCAACTCCAACTCCAGCAAAATTAAATACCAAGTCATTTTTTTGGGGGCAGGAGCGCTCAAAGGGGATTACCCTATTCCGAATTCTGATAGGAGCATCGGGCATTAACCCAAATACTTTTATAGTTAGTATTTTTAATATTTAACTTGCATTAATATTTATTCGTATAAAAAAATTAATTTTTAACAAATATTTAATAAGAGGAAAAATGGGATTGATAAAATTCTACATCTACATATCTTTATTCTACAGCTTTTGCACTTCAATTTCACCTTTCCAGAAAAGTTAGTACAACTAAAAAGTGTGCGATCTAGCTACTTCAGTCCCTTGTTCAAAAAAGAAAAATATGATCAATTAGTTTGGCTCATTCACAAAAATAAAATCCACTCTAAATAAGTGCACTAATATTTTTGATTCATTCCTTTATTTTCCTAGGAATGAATCAAAAATATTCAAATTCAATTGGGCAAAAAATTTAACTACTAAACATAAATACTACAAAGGAAACTATTGATACATATTTAATAAATTAAATTGTTGCATTTTGTATTTAAAATAAATGAATTATAACAAAATACAAAAATATTTTAAAAAATTAATAAATATAAAATAAATTTTCTTTCATTTAAATAAAAAAAACTAAATTAAATTTTAAAATGCAAGAGTCAGAGTCGACACATTTTTCCCAACTCCGACTCCTCTGGCCAGAAATTCCTCCCAACTCCAACTCCACAGCCCTGTTGTAAACAGTATTTACATTTTTTTATATAGATTTTTTCAGGAATAATTTCAAAAAATGTTTATATTAATCATTTAGTTTATACTAAAAAAAATCTCTAAATTTTGTTGTCAGTTTTATATATCTGTCTATAATTCCTTGATCTGTACTGTACATATTATAATTATTCATTTCACAAATTATGTTGATAAGAAACTGAAAATACTGCAATCAAGAAACCTTCTTTTAAGTTAAGAGCAGAGCAAGTGCCCAAAACAATAAGATGAATATAATTAAAAGTGTCATGAAGTGGGATATGACTGCACTCTAGAGATATAATTAGTAGTCTAGAACAAGGGTGGGCAACCTTTTTTATAACATGGGCCAGAATAAATTTTACGTTTTTTCCGCGGGCCATAGTAGTTAATTGACACCTTGTGACCTGTAAATTTTTAGTCTGCAAACATGAAATAAATAAATAAATAAAAATTAATTAATTACTACAGTCGACCTCCCTATGACACCGTTGATTATTCCGTTTTATATGAATTCCATGTTGTACGAGTCACTTAGATTTTACAAATGCGTGTGCCGGGCTGTGAACGGCTCACCTATTTGTAAAATCTAAGTGACTTTAAACACAATAAAAACAGCACTATGTAGTTGGATACGACAGACATTACATTTTCTAATTGCATAGCTTTTGCACATAGATTTTCTTGATGGATGATGCGATGAGATATAAATAATTTAGAAAAATTCTGTTCTCCCATTTTTTGTTTGAATAAGGAAATGACTCCCTTATTTTTTCCTGTCATTGCTGCCGCAACACTTCAGAAAATAATATTCAATTTAAACTAGACGAATTACATCGGAAAATATTTATTTATAATTTCTTCTAAACATCTCACGGGCCGGATAGAAACTTTTCGCGGGCCGTAGCTGGCCCGCGGGCCGGGGGTTGCCCACCGTTGGTCTAGAATAGTGGTTCTCAAAGTTTAATCTGTAGATCACTGATGGTCTGCAAGCATACACCAAGTGATCAACAGATTAACCTTGTTAAAGCTTGAGAGAAAGCTTGTAATGTTCTACTCACACTTATTAATACTGGAGTGAAAATATAGCACCAAACCTTCTTTGTAGTACTTTATTATTATCTAGTTAGTCATTATCAAGATGATAAGATACTGGAGAATTGTTTAGAAGTTACTACAAAGAACGTTTGGTGCTACACAGATTAACCTAGTCACATTCTTCCAAAATGCAATTTTATGTATACTCTGCTCATATCTAGCATTGTGTTTTCTCTTCTTAGATATGAGCAGAGTATACAGAATTCCAATCCACAATAGAAAAAATGATCAGATCCTCTTCAGAATATATTGTGATAACAAAATATAACATCAAAGAATAAATCCAAACAGCAAAGAGATGTATGAATACGTAGGGACATCATCATTCCAGTGCAAACATTGTTGAACAGAGACTAATGTCATATGGGACAAAGTAGATACACTTGAGCCAACACGTCACTGCCAAGTCTACATGGATATACAAGAGAAGATTAACTAATATAATCAACTGTATAGACCCAGAAAACTTAGCAAGATCTTGGCAGTGATTAAAATGTTTTCTAGCTAACCACCATGAATCCCATTAAAATAACATTACTTCATTTTATTTTATTACTGTTAAAAATAAAAAGACAAGGAGAAATTGTTATTTAATTATTTTTATTTTGTATTTATGTATATAATCAAAACTTATAAGTGTACAAAAAATAACTTTAAATAAAGCATTTTATTCTATTTCTGGTAAACTTAAATATTTTAAAAAGTCATTGTAAATGTGTATATTATATAATTTTGATATTCAGTATTTGAATTAATTTCAATAAGTTTGCTTAAAACTTGTATTACTATTTAAAGATTAAACTATAAGAATTTGAACTAAATAAATGTTTATTACTAAATTTTCTATTTATGCATTTCTTAGTCTTTGAAATTGTTTACATAACTTTTTGTGACAGAGAATCAAGCTATAGTAGACTGTAAATTCATATGGCAAAAAATCACTGTAATCATCAATGAGGCACTATAATTCAACAAACAGCATAAAATAGCAATGTCTACACGCTTGGTAATCATCTGGCACAGTTTCCTTGCTTTATTCTTTTTAACACCTACAGTTAAAATGATTAGTTATAATATAAATTCAATTATTAATTTTATAACAATAGTCTAAATTTGAGATATTAAAATAAAAAGAAAACTTAAGTTTCTAAAAATAAATTTGACATAAATTATTTAATTTAAAAAAATACTCATCAAACTTTTATCATTAATTTTTAATTATAAATTGCTGTATTGATGTAGCCTATTCAATATTATCATTTATTACTGAAAATAAAAAATCTATTGTAATAATACAAGTTTGATTTTTAAATGTTCTCAAAGCTTTTACTGAAAATATGACTTTTGACTTTTATCACTACAATTTCAAAAAATTGTAGTGATAAAGTCAAGTCATTTTCATACCTTTTTAATCCAACAGTCATTTTATAATCATGTAATAGACTTAAATGAACATTAAATTATTCTCTGATAATAAATTTTTTGCCAAATTGGCAATAATTCCCTAATTAATTATGCTTGAAAGTAAACAAATATACCTGTACATCTTGTTACTCATGGCAAATAAAAACATTATTTTCACTTCAAAATAATAATAATAAACATGAAAATCTATTTATTTATTTTTAATTTTTGAAACAATCTACAAATTTAAAGTATGTATTTGTACAAAAGAAACTATATATCAATTAGAACTACTATAAGCATTAGTTTTAAAATATTTAAATTTTTGAACACAAATATATAGAAGTTAGTTTTTGTTTCTCTTCAGTGAGTTCAGTCTAATTTTTTTTAACTTGATTGATATTTAAATTATTATTCATAATTTCTGATTATTATTAACATTTAATAATTAATAGTTCTGTTTAAAAATTATTTTTTAAAAATTTCAATCTACAAAGTTTAAAATCATAATAATTCATATATAAATTTAAAACTGTTTACATTATACAAAGTTAAAGGAATTGAATTTACTGTATATTATTTGGAATTTTATATTTGATTATCTAATCAATTGATTTAATAGCAGAAAGTAATGAAAAATACAGTATACTATATTAATATAGGCAATTAAATGATCAAATTAAAAAATTTATCATCAATGAACAATACAACTCATAATAGATAAGGTAAATTCAGTTTTAGAATGGGTAAAAACATGCCACTGTAGAGTCATCCTAAAAAGATGCGATATTGTAAATACAGTGGGTGATCGGTTAATGAACAGATCGGACAACGAACAAATCGAATAACGAACACTTTCGCGAAAGATTTTTATGTTCAGACAACGAACACATGATCGGATAACGAACACCCCTCAGAACAAACACAAGAAGAAGCGACGTAAAATAACGAATACCGATTGGACTTTCCTGACGTTTGGGCAACAATTCGAAACTTTTCGGAGTGTGGGAGACGTCGACATCGATGCTCAAGCTGGTATATACCGATTGGATAGTATTCCCTCAAACTTTGAAACTCTCTCTCTTATAATTCCAGCCTTTTATTTTTCTGACAAAACGATTCTTTTATGTGTCGGGTAGACACTCGTTAAGTTTTGCATCGGTTTTTATTTTCGAAAGGTGAGATTATTTTCGAATATTAAAGATTAAAGAGTGGGCAGAAGATTTCTGATGTTGCTGGGCAGTATGGCTTGAACAGGTATACAATATGCGGCAGTTCAATCTAATTTGAGAAAGATACTATA